AAATCTTTTATGAATCGCCTGTAGAACCCGGCGTGCCCAAGGAAACTTCTCACTGCCTTGACTAAAGTGGGCGGTGTTAGTTTTTCAATCACGTCAACCTTAGCATGGTCGACCTCAATTCCTTTACTGGACACTCGATGTCCCAGGACTATCCCTTCTTGTACCATAAAATGGCACTTCTCCCAGTTCAACACTAAATTTGTCTCCAAACATCTTTTGAGCACTCTTCTTAAGTTGTGAAGACAGTCCTCGAATGAATCTCCCACCATGGAGAAATCATCCATAAAGATCTCCATAATATCTTCCACCATGTCTGTAAAAATGGCTAACATGCACCATTGAAATGTCGTCGGTGCATTGCAAAGCCCAAAAAGCATTCTCTGAAAGGCGAAGATGCCATAAGGACAAGTGAAGGATGTTTTCTCTCTATCTTCGGGGGCTATTGATATCTGATTGTACCTCGAATATCAATCTAAGAAATAGAAGTGCGATCGCCCGGCCAGCCTATCCAACATTTGGTCAATAAAAGGCAAGGGGAAATGGTCCTTCCGGGTGGATGTATTCAATTTTTGGTAATCCATGCAAATCTGCCATCCCATGACTGGGCGAGTTGAGATCAACTCATTGTTCTCATTTTGCACAATAGTCATTCCCCCTTTTTCAGCACACATTGGACAGGGATGACCCAATTGCTATCAGAGATGGGGAAGATGATTCACGCATCTAACCATTTGATCACTTTCTTCTTTACTACCTCTTTCATATTCGGGTTCAGCCTTCGTTGATGTTCTCTGGAAGGTTTGTGCCCTTCTTCCAAGAGAATCTTGTGCATACAGAAGGCTGGGCTGATACCCTTTATATCTGCCATGGTCCAGCCAATGGCAGTCTTACTTTCCTGCAGTAGCTGTAAGAGTTGTTCTACCTGCACATCTAGCAAACTGGATGATATAATAATAGGCAAAGTAGAATCAGGGCCTAAGAAAATGTACCTGAGGTGAACTGGGAGCAGCTTCAGCTCCAGCTTGGGTGGTTCCTCTACTGATGGCTTTGCTGGAGGTGTAGCCCTTTTTCTAACTCAAGGGACTCGAACTGAGGGTCCCTTTTCCAGAATTCTTGGCCTTCAAGTGCCATGACCCACTCAGCTAACCCTTCACCATCCATCTCTTCTAAATTTGTCAGACATGCCTCCAATGGATCTTTAACAGTCAGGGTCACGCCATCTTCTTGCAGAATCACATCCACTGCCTCCACTAGAGAGCAATAAGAATATTCACTGGGTCTCCTCATAGATTGCTGAACATTGATATGACTTCTTCATCGTTCAGTCTCATTTTTAATTCCCCAGTCTCACAATCGATCAGTGCTCTCCCAGTGGCCAAAAATGGCCTACCTAAAATGATAGGTATCTCCTCATCTACCTAACAGTCCAAAATAACAGAGTCTGTAGGGAACACGAACTTCCCCACTTGCACCAACTAATCATCAAGAATCCCAGTAGGTCTTTTTACGGTGCGGTCAGCCAGCTGCAGCAGCATCGAAGTCGGTCTGGCTCTACCAATGCCCAGTTTGGTGTATACAGCCAGAGGCATCAAATTTATGTTGGCTCCCAAATCACATAATGCCTTTGCAAAGGCATAACTCCCAATCGTGCATGGAATAGTGAAGCTACCTAGGTCTGAAATCTTTTGAGCCATCGGTTTGGTCACAACTGCGCTGCAGGTCTGCGTCAGAGTCACTGTGCATAGGTCCTGAAAATCAAACTTCCGTGACATTAGATCTTTCATCATCTTCGCATAACCTGGCATCTCCCTCAAGGCATCCATCAAAGGAATATTCAACTGAATTTGACGCAGCATCTCCATGAATTTCTTATATTGATCTTCCTTTTTTTGTTTTACCAGTCTCTGAGGGAATGGTGCCGGTATCACCCTTTGTGCACTATTTGTTGGCTTCTCTCTATTGGGGTTTTGTGGCACAAGAGGCACCACCTACTCTACAGCTTGTTCATTTACCTTAGCCTTACCCTTTTCATCTTGACCCTATTCAACTACCACTTCAGTCAGATTTGATGGTTCATCTACCTCTAGTGGAATTGGAGTGGCTGGCAAAGTCTCTTTGCTGGCTTGTGCAACCTCCTGCTCTTTGTCTAAATCTCTCCCATTCCGAAGACTTACTGCCATCAGCTGATTCGGGTTTGGCTCCTTGGGGTTAATATTTGTGTCCGCTGGCAATGTTCCTGGGGGCGGTTGTTTAAAGCCATAGACAACTGCCCCAACTGAGTTTCAATGTTCTTTATAGCTAAATCATGTACTGCCAACTTTTTTTGCATCTTACCATTTGTCCCAATGAATTATTGGAGCATCCCCCTGATCTCTACCATGTTGTTATCTTGCTGCTGAGGAGGTGGCTGATATGTCAACTATTGCTGGTTTTGCTGTGGATAGCCCTGTTGTCTCTGGTGGTATGGCACCAATTGGCCTTGAACGTGCATGCCCCCAGGCTGAGGCATGTTAGGTCTGTATTGTTGATTTGGTGTCGGTCTCCACTGTTGTCCTCCTTGTCTCTGACCCCCAAAGTTGTTAACATAATTCATATCTTCCCTTGCCCCTTGATTTTCACCTTCTCCGCTCCATGAACACACATAAGACTGATTAACACAGGTTGTACACATTCCTCCATTTGTCGTGTCAACAATATGCACCTGTTTGGTACCCATCTCATCTATCTTCTTTGTCAAAATACTCATCTGAGTCATGAGTGTGGCCATATTCTCTGCATGCAAATTATTTGGGTCAAGAGGAACTGAATGCACTATGGGTGTCAGTGTTGTCCCTCTAGTCATCCACCCCGAATTCTAGGACATCTTGTCAAGAAGGACTTTGCACTAGGTGAATGTCTTACTCAAAAATGCACCTCCAACTAAAGCATCCACATTGGCCTTTAGATTGTTAGCTAACCCCTTGTAGAATCTCTGGCCAGGCATCTGGTCTGGAATGCCATGGTGAGGACACTTCACCAGCATTCCTTTAAATCTTTCCCAAGTTTCTTGCAAGGTCTCAGTCGGCTGCTGCTTGTACTGCAATATTTCATCAATCTGCCTTGCAGTCTTGTTGGGCGGGTAGAACTTATTCAGGAACTGCTTTACTAAATCCTCCCAGGTGACAATGGAATTGATTGGGAGCGAATTCATCCAAGTCTGAGCTTCCCCAGTCACAGAGAATGGGAACAATAATAGCTTGATAGCTTCTGGGGTCACATTTGGCTGCCTTTGAGTCACACAAATTGACAGAAAATTTTTCAAATGTTGCTGAGGGTCTTCAATGTGTGACCCGGAGAACAATCCCTTATTCTGCAGCAGATGCAACATGTTTTTGGTGATCTGGAATGACTCCGCTTGAATTGCGGGCACAGCTATGGTAGTTGCCAAGTTGTCAGCTGTGGGTTGAGCCCAATCATAAAGTGCAGCTTCTAGCACAAGAGGTGCCACCACTCTGATGTTTGGGTCAGCTGGCTCATCCCTGATGTTTCCGTTGACGTTCTCTACATTACCCATGTTAAATTCAAGCTGGTGTAGTTGTTGTGTTTGTTGGATCCTCCTGTTGGCACAGTTCAATGCCCTGAATGTTTTCTCGGGGTTTGAAAGTCCTTCAAGCAGTTCTCCAGTCCTCAAAGAATTTCTAGGCATACACTTGAATTCCACAAGAATTCAAATGTTAGAATTTCAATAAAAATTGTTTAACACCTTTGAAATTTGATTTGAACTAATAATTTTAACACTACTTTTAAGTTGTAATAAATAACACCGTTAGTTCCCCGGCGACGACGCCAAAATTTGATAACGCCCAACTATGCCTTTTAAAGGACAAAGCGGTCGTTGCAAATATAATCCGATTTTTAAGTCCAGAATCGAATCCTCGGGGAACTAACCTGTCTATTACCCTCTTCGGCAATGTTATTATCAACTCAATCAATCTCTAGATGCCCGATTTTTTATCAATAATGATTGGGTTTTTGTTTAACTACTTTGACTACTATTAAAAGCAACGGTAAGCTAAAACAAAGATAATTCAATAGTAAAAAGGTCTAGGGCGGTGATTTCCCCTATTGCTAGTTTAGGTCCTGACTCTTCCGCTATAATCTCGCCATAATACTCTATGAGGATTAAGAGCTATGGGTTATCGGAATTATCTCTCGATCAACTACAATAATTTACTAGAGCATTCTCTCGAACTACTCTAGTTGACAATAGTTATGCAACTCTAAAGTATCTCACCAAAGTTTTGTTATCTCTAAACCCACTATTAAGTTTAAGTAATGAATCTCTTCAATTACCCAGAAGTGGTGTTGTTCAACCGATGTCTAACCTAATACTCTTTCTCAAGCAATATAAGGTAATTAAACACGATTAATCAAGGGCCCATTCAAGTAATCACCATACAAAACGTAGTTGAACAATCATATCATAAATCCGGCTCGATTATAACAACTTGAGTCAAAACTTCAACCAACAATTGGTTCCAACAAACCTAGATAAGTATTTAGCTAGTCATAACAAAATAAGAGAAAACTACTAAATTGTTCATAATGTAAAATTGCAAGAATTAAAAGGAGATAGAAAAACTCTAATGTTTTGTTGATCTTCTCACACTTGTTCTTCCTCCAATAATAGTCTAAAATTAGCTTCATCCTCACTTGGGCGAGTTTCTAAAGCTTATAAGGGTTTTACAAAAAATTTCCCGAAGTTACACTTTGGTCCTCAAACTTCCAGCTGTGTGAACAGTGCACCGCGGTCGCGGCCAACCGCGATCGACCGCGGTGAAAGCTGACCTTTCTGCCTCAGTAACCTGTCGCGATGGCCTTCTTCCCCAGGCCATTTATGCTTCTTTGTGTTCGGGTATTTCTCGAGTGGGTGTTGTTCTTCACATTATCGCCTCCAAAATACTCCATGTTGCTTCCTCTCATATAATATTCCCTGCTAAACACTAGAACACTATTTAGAGCAGTTTGTTGGCAGTTTATCTATAAAACAACAACAAAGTATGGTCATATTAAGGTGTAAATATCAACTATATCGCCTACTATCATGTAACAACAACAACAACAATAAATCCAGTATAATTTCATAGGTGGGGTCTAGAAAAAACCGTAAGGTGCCTTTCGCCAAAAACCTTAAGCTGGGTGCTACTGCCAAAGGCGTCCTATACCTTTGGCGGCGACTTAAATGGTCGCCACTAATATTGTACAGAAAACTTATTTTCTTTAGTGCACTAATAGTAACAAACATGAAAATGAGTTGTTCGAAGCCAAGTAAATTGTTCTTTAAATTATTACTTTTCTCATAGAAAATATTGGCTAATCCAATTTTTTTTTTACATATAACTTTTGTGAAAATATTTCACCAATGCTTGGACCAATGTAAATGTACATATGACAATGTTGTATTATTATTATTATTATTTTATTATTAACTTTCGTGGCAACTTGGAATGGCAAAATGGTTAAAAGAAAACAGTTAACCACCCATATTATCCACTAAAATATGGGTTGGATAATGAACTTTTAAAAACGGGTCAATATGGATAAGAAGAATATTATCCATTTGGAAAATGGATAACCAATGGATAACCAATTGGTCTAACTTTTACATTTGTAAAGCCTCAAATTGGGGGTTCTTTAAGTTAGAGAGACTAAGAATTCTCCCAAAAGTAATCATATACAAGAAGTCATGGATAATATGGATAACCCATATTATCTGCCGGTTAACCCGTTTTTTATCCGTATTTAATATGGGTCGAGTTGGATAATTGATCCATTTTTTATTACCCGTTTTCGATCCGAACCATATCCGACCCGACCCGACCGTTTGTCACCCCTAATGGCAACTAAGGTTGCCACAAAAATAAATAAATGAGCCATAAAATAGATTTTGCATGTTCTTTAGATATTGTAGAGGTTCTATAAAGCCATTGGATTTTTGTTGTGATCTCCCAACACTCTGAACTTTGATCTTCTTCATCAAAGTATCTTCTTTTTGTCTTTTTCTCCAAATTGAAATTCTACTGAATTAATATTCTTTTAAGAAAATTAAGACACTAATATTCAACCAAGAAAATTTTATTTGGAGCAATTAAAAGCAATAAGAGCAAGACGTGGATACAAATTAAAGATTAAAATAGACCAGAGAATGTTCTTTCTTTTTTTTGTTGCTTTTGTGAGTTGTTACACATTCTAACAACATTTATTACTCTTTTGAAGTATAAATTTATTGTTTCTTAGAAGCTGAAGTAAATTATGTTTGACTGAGTCGTAATGTAAATTAAAAAATATTGTCAACACTCTTGGTAGCAACTAATAACACTCGGGTCCCATATTATTTTAGAGTTTAAATAACACGCAAGTCGTAAATTGATCCTTTTCAATTGGAGACTTGATATAGTATAAATGGAGAGTTTGTAGTCAAAATTGTCCCTCAGGTTTGAGGATAGGTTTAAATTTGTCCTTTATATATTATCTTGAGCACTTATTGTCCCTTAATTAAGTTTATATAAATTGAGCACATTTAGCCTCTGTTAACACCAAATCCAAACAGTATTGGAACAACAGTTGTACCTAGTTGTTTTGGATTAGTTCTTAGATTTCATGCTTATCCTTAGACTAAAGATTTAGAGTTATCCTTTTAGTTCATACTTATCATTCAGTTAGTTAGCTTTAGATAGTGTTTTGATTTGAATAAGTCTCCTAATTCAAAGAGTACTCTTAGGAAGACTTGTATTTAAACTGAGCTTGACATTCAATATACATATAGTTTTCCATCATATTCTTCAGTGTTCATATGGTATCAGAGTCTATACAGCTCTAACGA